TTTTTGGTTTGATTATATTATTGAATTAAATTTATTATTATTATATTATTATTTTTTTTATGATTATTTATTAAATTATAATTTATGATTTTGTGTTTCAAGTTTTATCCTACCCGGGATGTTTACTAAAGTCTTGTTCGGACAGATTTCACTGAGTTATTCCTAAAAATTACAGTCCTACAATAAAAAAAAACATATTTCCAAGCAAAAAAAATATACCGCTTTGAGCACAGAAATATGGACATAATCATACCGCTAGGGAGGTTAAACTTCAAAAGTTAACTACTTGCTGACCGCAGATAGCTAAAAGATGGCTGCACTGCGGCCGGCCAGTTCTGGGTGGGCGTCATATGACTGGGAGCGCACACCCGGCGATCTCCGTGATCGCTGTGTCCTACGGACACAGCTGATCACGTGATGTGGTAAAAGGCCAATCACAGCGGCCTTTTATCACGTGATCAGCCGTGTCCAATGACACGCTGATCACCGGGAAATGCAGTTGCCGGTTCTAGGCTGCACTTTCCTCACGCTGTCAGATCATGAGGAAAGTACTGCCGAGAACTGGCAGTTGTTAGAGCAGGGATCGGCACCGATCATCAGGGCACTGATGATCAGTGCCCTGATGATCGGTGCCCAGCAGTGCCACCCACAAGTTCCACCCACCTGTGACCAGCAGTGCGCCCATTAACTTCTACCGACTGTGCCCAGCAGTGGGCCACACTAGCTCCGCCCACCTGTGCCCAGCAGTGCATCCAGCTGTGCCCAGCAGTGCACCCACCTGTGCCACCCAGCAGTGTCACACAAGTGTGCCCATAAGTGCCACCTACCTGTGCCAACCAGTGCCCATCAGTGCAGCCCAGCCCAGCAGTGCTGCCAGTCAGTGGCACCAGTCAGTGCCCAGCGGTTGTGCCAGTCAGTGCCCAGCAGTGCCGCCAGCCAGTGCCCAGCAGTGGTGCCAGTCAGTGCCACCTATCAGTGCTGTCTATCAGTACCCATCATCAGTGTCGCCTATCAGTGCCGCCTATCCGTGCCACCTCATTAGTGCTGCCTATCAGTGCTGCCTATCAGTGCCCTTCAGTGCTGCCTATCAGTGCCCATCAGTGCTGCCTATCAGTGCCCATCAGTGTTGCCTCATCAACGTACATCAGTGAAGGAGAAAAATTTACCTGTTTAAAATTTTTTTATAATAGAAACAAATAGAAAGAAATATTCCAGCAACCCCCAATACTGGCTTTCAGACAACCCCCCAACCTCAGAAATAAACTCATCAGTAGGAAACTTCCTTCTGATTATGATATCACAAATAATGGAAGCAAACCCTGCAATAAGAAACGCTGCAAGCTGTGCAACCAAATCAATCCATCAAAAAGTGTCAGACACTCAAAAGGGATCTTCAATATTTCCGGATCATACAGCTGCACCTCCAGTAATGTTGCGTACCTTATCCAGTGCAGAAAATGCAGCAAAGGATCTTATGTTAGCGAAACAGGACAGAAGTTGCAAACAAGGATGAATTTGCACAGACATACCATCAAGGAACATAAAGAAGATGACCTCTGCACACCTGTAGGACACCATTTCACACAACCAGACCACACTATGGAAGACCTCAATGTTTTAGTTCTGAAAGGAAAATTCAAATCCATCCAGGAAAGAACAACATTTGAACTAAGAATAATTCTATTTGACAAAAAAGATAACGGGCTTAACTTGGACATGGGATTCCTCAACCATTATCCGACAGTTTCATTAACTGAAGCTTGACCCCCTCTGTGTGAGTGTAGTATTCCCCCCCCCCCCCCCCCCCGCTTTTGATGTATCTTATCTGTAGCCTTTTTTTTTTTTTTTTTTCTCAATCCCTTCTAACATTCTGCCTAAACTCTGTGATTTGTAATAGTACTGTTTGGACTTTGAAGAAGGGGACATACCCCGAAAGCTTGTCCTCAAAATTGTATGTTAGTGCATATAAAAAAAGTATCACGGACAGTACTCAATTGTTTCTGTCGCAAATGCACTAATACGGCTACAATCACCTCAAGCATAATAGAAACAAAGAAACTTTTTTTTTTTTTAATTTTTTTTAATTTTTGGTTTATAGCGCAAAAAGTAAAGTGCCCAGCAGTGATTAAATACCACCAAAATAAAGCTCTATTTGTGAGAAAAAAATGATAAAAATTTCATATGGGTACAATCTTGCATGACCGCACAATTGTCAATCAAAGTGTGACAGCGCTGAAAGCGGAAAATTGGCCTGGTAAAGAAGGGGGTATAAGTGCCCGGTAGGCAAGTGGTTAAAGTAATATTAAAATTAATTTTTTTTTCATTAAAATAACAAACATGTCATACTTACCTGCTCTGTGTAATGGAATTGCACAGAGCAGCAATGATCCTCCTCTTCTCAGGTACTCTGCCATGCTCCTGGATCCTGTCCTCGCTTAGTGTTCCCATAGGAAGCAGTTTCCAAGGCACTCATGCAGGCTCACTCCCAAGTCAGGCTGTTTGCATATATTTAAACACACAGCCTGGCTTTGCTCCACCCTGTGCTCACAGGTTTTGACTGACAGCAGAAGGAGCCAATAGCTCCCACTGCTCTCAGCCAAGCCTATAAGAGCTGGGAGAAGGAAGAAGTGCTGCTGCAGAGTACACAGCGCTGGACTGAAATCAGGCTCAGGTGAATATTTAGGGGGGGCTGTAAGGGGAGCTGCACTGAAAAGTTTTTTCACCTTAATGCATAGAATTTAATTATGGTAAAAAAACTTTTACCATTACAACCACTTTAAGTGAAATTTCAGTGAAGACTGAACACAAAATTGCTTTTCATTACGCTGAATTAATTAAGTTAATTTTGCTTGACTGAGAAGTTGCTAAGATACAGTGCTGAAAACAAACAAATAAAGTATAGTTTGCTAACATGAAACTAAACAGGAGGTGTTTTGTTACTATGGGAATACTTTGGAAGAACAGCAGTAGAGCCATACTGACATTTCTCTATTGAAAACATACTTTCTTATTTTTGTCCAGCACGGTAACAAGCTACAAAGACATCTTTTTTGCCAGTAGCTAGTGACCTTTGTTGCTATATACAAAGGCCTTCTACTGTATATGTGAGTTGTTGAGTTGGACAGAGTTTTCTCAAGGATTAATATATGCTGTACAATAGAATTTAAAAACAAAATGTAAATTTTGTTAACAAAATAGAGTTCATCATATATACTGTATACTGTGTGTATGTATATATATATATATATATATACTGTATATCCTTTTTGCTCCATGAAACACTATCAGGATATACAGATATACTGTAACATATTACTACAAATAGAAATGTTTTTCTCCCCTTGAAGATACGAAAATAATTTCTAGTCAAGCGACAAATTTTCCATTTCTTGAATCATTTCCCTTTCAAGTCCACCCCAGATAAGTCTTATTCCTCGGTTGTTATGATTACAATAACCCAATAAAACACATAAAAATCAAACAATGAAACTATGCACTGTGCATGCCAGTGTATGCAAAGAAAATGTAAAATGGAAGGTGAGCCTGTTAATATTTAAATGCTGCATTCATTTGTGCATGTGTGAAGCATTTTTCCTATAGTGAAATTCATGTGTTATCATGTAATTATTTTTACCTGCAGTGGATTTTTTAAATCTAAAGAAATACTCTTCACTATTTAAAATAATACATTCGCAAATTAACAAATTGTTATAATATGGAAACGCATAACATGATGAAAAAGCAGTATAATGTTTTACAGAATTAGTAATCTAACATACAGTACTTATTAATTTTAAATTAAGAATATACAGGGGTCAGAAAAAAAATGGACACAAGTGATGACATGTTTCGCGTTTAAATTTGTATGATGAGACACCTAGCTAATAGTGTCATTCACTGCATGCACTGCTAGTAATATAGAGTCATGTTAGAGTTCACTGAGCTTCAAAGAGGACACATGATTGGTGCCTGCTCAGCTGGTGCCTCTGTGCCTGAAGTTGCTCATTTATTTGCCATGTTATGGAGTACAGTATCCAAGGCTATGATGGCATATACAGCGTCTGGGTAAACATTGTCTGATAAGCATAAGTGCGGTCAACATGGTCAACTAACCGAAAGAGACAAAAGGACATTGCACAGGGTTGTGACCCAGATTAAGGAAACAACTGCGGCAAAAGTGACTGCAGAGCTCAATCTCAGAGGCAATGCAATTTGTGAAGTGTGGTTGTTTTGGTCAAGTACAGGCATAATTTTTGATTGATGCCTTGTTCATTTTACAAAAATATGTTTCAGATATTGATTTAAAGTGGAAGTAAACCCACTTTGTCAACTTTTACCTACAGGTAAGCCTTTAATAAGGCTTACCTGTAGGTAGTGTAAATATCTCCTAGACGTTCACTGTTTAGGAGATACTTACTGTAGAAGTGACTGATGTCCTGCTCACTTCGCTCTCAATGTACGGTGTGCTGGAGGGCTTCATTTTCAGGTAAGTCTTTCATAATGTGCTAGTATGTGACGCATACATTATGCTCTTAACCTCCTTGGCGGTATGATTCTTTCCGATTTTTTGTGCTGAAAGTGGTACCATTTTTTTGCATGGAAATATGTAGTTTTTTATTGTAGGCTGTAATTTTTAGGAATAACTCACTGAAATCTGTACGAACAAGAGTCTATTAAACATTCCGGATATGATAAAATTTGAAACACAAAATCATAAATTATAATTTAATAAATAATCATAAAAAATAATAATATAATAATAATACATTTAATTCAATAATATAATCAAACCAAAAACACTGAAATTTGAAATACAGAGGCAAATTCGCACATCACTGAGCAAAGTCGCCAAATCGTTTTCAGTGTCTGATGACGAATTTCCCCACGAATCATTATCACTCAATTCTGCAAGTGGTTTTGATTTACTATCGCTGTTCTAAAACCGCTTTTGACGTAAAGGGACGCTTTTTGGACGCCATGGACTTTTCTAAGTTTCCAGGCAGAAAGAACATTCAAAATGCAGGCAGGGCGCAGGACAAAGCAGTAGGGACCAAATATATGTGAAATGAATTGAAACAGCAATGACAGCAAAAATGACATTTTTAAAAAAATTCAAATTTCCCACCGGTTCCGGCGCCCGTACGTCCCGACGTCACAGGGACCGGAACACAGAAGCCGGATGCCGGCATTGGCAGGAGGAGATGGCCGGGGACGCTGCAGGGGACACATCGCGGGAGCGAAGGACAAGGTAAGTGCTGCAGGGACCCCCAGAGCAGCGCCGCATGGTAAGCCCGAGTGTAGCTCGGGGTTACCGCTCTTGGTATAGAAATTTTACCCCGAGCTACACTCGGGATTACCGCTAAGGAGGTTAAAGTGATAGTAAACTTTTTTTAATACTTTTATCCACAGATAAGCTTATAATAAAGCCTACCTTTAGGTAAACTGAATATCTCCTTAACGTGCACTGTGTAGGAGATATAAGCTCTTCTTGAGAGCCAGTGCATGCACACGGGTATGCCGTTCCTTCAGAGCACTGTGCCATGCCCCAGGATGTGTGGAACTGAGGTCATCGTGGCTCGGCCAGTCAGACGGTCGGAGCTCCTGAACCCGGAAGGAAGACCGGGTGAATATGGAAGCCCTGTTAGCAGTGACAGTGAACCGTTGGAGGACTTCGTTTTAAGGTAAGCATACTAGCACATTATGATATTACATACCTTGCAAGGGATTTTTTTTTTTAATTTTACCTGTGGTTTACTACCGCTTTAACTTGCAGGGAGAAGATTTTTAAGAATATTTTTGGCGGTTTACTACCACTTACAAAAAAATGTGTGATAAGTGTTGCAGTACCAAAATTAACATGTATCAAACATCCATTATTGCCTAAGGCTAGGTTCACACCTCTGTGTGGTGTGATTGATGCATTTTCTGGTGTGTTTTGCGTTTTTGAACACACATTTTTGTTGCACTTTGCTTTTTTTGCCAATAGGAAAATATTAACTTTAATGCAACTTTGATGTGACTTTGGATAGGTGGGACTTTGATGCAACTTCTATGACAGTTCTGTTCACGTAGTGTGACTTTGATGCTACTTTATTAACAGAGAGTGTAAACTCACATCAAAGCTGGACTACAGAAACAGATCCATCATACTCTCCTATCAGCAAAAAAAAAAAAGTTGCATCAAAGTTGCACCCATCCAAAGTTGCATAAAAGTCACATCAAAATCATACCCATCCAAAGCCACATCAAAGTTCCATAAAAGTCACATCATAGTCAATACTCTCCTATTGGCAAAAAAAAAATCAAAACACAAAACGCATAAAAACCACAAAACTTACATTGTTTATGCTGTTCCATTGAAGTCTATTGCACAAAAAAATGCAGTCTACTGCAGGAAAAAAGTCCCTGAACCTTTAAAAAAAGCACAAATGTGAACTAGATTCATAGGATTCAATCTTGTTAAGTGGACAGTAGTGCATTTCTGCAAACTGGAAACACCCTGAAATCCTCATAAGTGTGAACCTAGGGTAAGTGAGCTGAAAAGAAATGTAATAATACAACTGGGTTATATAGATAAATCAAAAAAGATTTTTGTAAGCACAAAAAAATTGTGAGTCTAGTGGTGATTGAAATTCAAACAGTCTGTGAACACAAAAGAAGTTCCATTTAGCGTGAATCCAAAGCACACCAATATTCAAAGAGATCTGTATTCACGATAAAATCCAATCAAGGAATAATGTGGGGATGACCAATGAAATCTCCAAAGGTGTATGCTCATCTTCCAGGTGGGCCCTTATTACAAGGGCCAATAGAGCCTTTAAACGGTAAGCCAAGATTCCAATGATGGCTACAGGTGAATATCACATAGACACATGCACACTCACTATAAATGTTTAATATACTCAGCAGCAGACCCAGCTTCAAATGGCAGACCCAGAGAGAGAGATTTAAGCAGAAGAGGCCAGCGTTCCTCTACTCCTTACACCCATTCACCATACCAAACTTTAGCCTTTTATTATGCAACGTATACCAGGTCAGGGAACTCCCGATCCACAGTGCTGCTATTTACCCACTCCACAAATAAAAGGAGGTATGGTAGAAGTGGGCACAGTTCAACAGTGTGAAGTCATTTCCTCCCAGAGGCTATTCAATGTAACCACTACTCCACATTAAAATGCATCAAAAATATACAAATCTAATACATAGTAAGTCCCCTACTCAAGAAACTTCAAGTTGTGAACTTTAAATATGCAAATGAGCGTTTGAATGTCAAATCATAAAGTAGCTCAAGTGTCTGCAGGACATTGTCACATGCATGTACCCTCTGCCGCAAGCTGTGTGTTGCTGTGCACTTTACTGTATAGGCACAGTTTTGCTCAAAACGTTTGCATATCCTGGAAGAAATTGTGAATTTTTGACATTAATATTGAAAATATGACTGATCATGCCAAAAAACTGTCTTTTATTTAAGGCTAGTGATCATATGAAGCCATTTATTATCACATAGTTGTTTGGCTCCTTTTTAAATCATAATGGTAACAGAAATTACCCAAATGGCCCGGATCAAAAGTTTACATACCCTGGAATGTTTGGCCTTGGTACAGACACACAAAGTGACACACACAGGTTAAAATGTCAATTAAAGATTAATTTCCCACATATTTGGCTTTTTAAGTTGCAATTAGTGTCTGTGTATAAATAGTCAAAGAGTTTGTTAGCTCCCAAGTGGCTGTACTGAACAGGCTAGATACTGAGCCATGAGGAGCAGAAAAGAACAAGTCAAAAGTCAAAAGACCTGCATTACAAGGTAATGGAACTTTATAAAGATGGAAAAGGATATAAAAAGATATCGAAAGCCTTGAATATGCCAGTCAGTACTGTTCAATCGCTTATTAAGAATTAGAAAATTTGCAAAAACTCACAGGTAACTTCGGGAAACATATAGGCTGCTCTGTAAAAAGACGGTGTAGTTGTTTCAAGGAGCACAATACTATGATACAAAAATGTGCTGCATAGTCGAATTGCCAGAAAGAAACCTTTACTACGCCAATGCCACAAAAAATCCAGTTACAATATGCCCAACAACACCTTACATGACATGCCTCACAGATTCTGGCACACTGTAATCTGGAATGATAAGACCAAAATAGAACTGTATGGTCACAACCATAAGCGCTATGTTTGAAGAGGGGTCACCAAGGCCTATAGTAAAAAGAATACCATCCCCACAGTGAAGCATGGTAGCGAATCACTGATGCTTTGGGGGGAGGGGAGCTTTAAATGCACAGTGAATTTTGTGGAAATTGATGGTAAGATGAATTCAGCACGTTATTAGAAAATACTGGCAGACAATTTGCATTCTTCTGCATGAAAGCTGCACATGGGACACTCTTGGAGTTTCCAACACGACAATGACCCTAAGCACAAGGCCAAGTTAACCTTTCAGTGGTTACAGCAAAAAAAGGTTAAGGTTCTGGAGTGGCCATCACAGTCTTCTGACATTAATATCATTGAGCCACTCAGGTTTTTGAACAGGGGTCATTTCATTTGTTTACTTGTTGCCATGTTTTGTTTTATGTTATGACCTACAGTTGAATATGAATCCCATAAGAAATAAAGGAAATGTGTATTGCCTGCTCACTCATGTTTTCTTTAAAAATGGTACATACCAGGGGCAGACTGACCATTTGGAAACTCGGGCACTGCCCAAGGGCCCAGGGTCAGTAGGGGGCCCCAGGAGATGCCTCTGGTACCTTTTTCATAGCCATGAGTTGTCAAACCCCCCTGGTACATACTATACAGTATATTACCTATTCTCCAAGGGTATGGAAAAGTTTGAGCACAACTGTACTATAGTATACAGTAGTACAGCATAAAATCAGCAGTGATGTAGCGGGGAGTGCTAAGAAGTGCCAAACAATAACTAAGGAAACAAAAGTGAAAAAAATTGAGAGAGTGGACTGAGGCAAACAGATGGTAGATGTTGTTCAGTCTTATAGTATAAATCATTCAAGCATTGTCACAATTCTAAAGAACATTTGAAAGGACAAGATCCTAGACCAGTGGTCGGCAAGCCGTGGCTCGCGAGCCACATGCGGCTCTTTACACACTTTAATGCGGCTCTTCTGTGTGCCGGGCGCCCGCTCCCCTCCCTCCTCTCGGGCGGCCGCCCCAAAAGTCAGGACTCTGCAGCTAGCCCAGCAATGGGCAAACTACGGCCCGCATACGGCCCGGCGGACCTTTTAATCCGGCCCACGGAGCGCGGCAAACATTGGCTGTCAGGATGTAGGCGGGGCAGCGTGACGAACTCCTCTCCTCTCACAGTCTGCCCTGAAGACCAGAACGGCGCGGGAACACGGCGAGAGGAACGCGCGGAGCAAAGGTAAGTGAATTGACACAATATGGGGAATGAATTACTATAGGGGGGATGAATTACTATATGGGGGATGAATTACTATGGGGAATGAATTACTATATGGGGGATGAATTACTATGGGGGATGAATTACTATATGGGGGATGAATTACTATATGGGGGATGAATTACTATGGGGGATGAATTACTATATGGGGGATGAATTACTATGGGGATGAATTACTATATGGGGGATGAATTACTATATGGGGGATGAATTCCTATATGGGGGATGAATTCCTATATGGGGGATGAATTACTATATGGGGGATGAATTACTATATGGGGGATGAATTACTATGGGGGATGAATTACTATATGGGGGATGAATTACTATATGGGGGATTAATTACTATGGGGGATGAATTACTATGTGGGGGATGAATTACTATGGGGGATGAATTACTATATGGGGGATGAATTACTATATGGGGGATGAATTACTATATGGGGATGAATTACTATATGGGGGATGAATTACTATATGGGGGATGAATTACTATATGGGGGATGAATTACTATGGGGGATGAATTACTATATGGGGGATTAATTACTATGGGGGATGAATTACTATGTGGGGGATGAATTACTATGGGGGATGAATTACTATATGGGGGATGAATTACTATGGGGGATGAATTACTATGAGGGATGAATTACTATATGGGGGATGAATTACTATGGGGGATGAATTACTATATGGGGGATGAATTACTATGGGGGATGAATTACTATATGGGGGATGTATTTTCAGTTTTAAAAATGTGGCTCTCAAAATAAATTTCAATCGTGGTTTTGGCGAGATTTGGCTCAGTTGAAAAAAAAGGTTGCCCACCACTGTCCTAGACCATGTGAAGTCTGTGCCAATGATGTAAAAAATAATATCAAAAAAGCATGAAAAAGTGATTGAGGAAA